TTTTTTTTAAATGAATAATATTAATTCATTGCAGTATAGCTAGTTTAATGTCTATGTTTTATTTAGCAGTGTAACTTTAGTATTCCATGACCAAGTAATGGATCACAACTATTTTTTCCACTTACTTCCAGGATGTTTTGATATATTTTAGATATGAATGTACAGTAATGGTCAGGTGTTTTTTTATCTCAACAAGTGTCAGTTTTACTACTCTAGGTGCCATAATTCAAGTTGAGCATTCTGGGTAGTGCAGAATTTATGTTTTTTATCCCATGGTTAATGGATAAAAGTGTCAGCTAAATAAATATAATGTAAATGTAATGCAACAAAAGCAAGGTTGTAAATGTAAATGGTTTGTTTGACAGATTTAGAAATGCTGCATATGTTACCATCAATACTACCTAATATTTAAAATTACAAAATAAAGTTGTTCTATACAGCCTTACCCTGCTAAATATGTTGCTAATATATTGCTTATGATGTAAGTGCAGTCAACCGTGAGGACACTTAACAATCTGAAGGACTCACCTGGCTTGTATTGCCCTTACACAGTGAACACTCCCAGGGTGGTAGGTGCACACGCTCCCTTTCTCTATATCACAGCCATAGTCAGTCTGAGGAGAAATACAACATCTGTGACCAGGCAGCCAAATTTCACCGTGTTCATTTATAAACTGCAGTTCAGTTGCACCAGCTCTTGCAATGTAACTAGAGTGTTTATCAAGTGGAGATTTACACATCACCGAATTAAACCACACAAAATAATTGTTCTTTCTAACATACGACGCGATTAGAGTAAAGGGGGCAGCTAATGGTCGACATACAGTTGGCCTATCTAACTGACACTTGATAAAAATGCTTAATAATGTTCTAAACTGGGATTTTAAATCACATTTCACGAAAAATAACACAATACAGCTACCTTAACTTACCAATTACCAAAAAGCATGAGTCAGGTTAGCCTAATTGAAGATGTTATCACTGTAAAATGCATGAATGCTATTAACTCTAAAACACATGTATGTCTGTGTACCTGTGTGAATATATAAATTAAACAGAGCAAACACCTCTAAAACCTTTTGGCAGTAATGTTACAGCTCAGCTTCTTCTTACTAAGAACTTAAGTACAACTTTTCACACAAACAGCTGGTGAAACCCCATTTCAGACACATAATTATTATAATATATATATATATATATATACTGTATATTTGTTTGTCCACAGTTTTACAGAAGTTTGTAAATGCTTCACACTGAATCCTCATCATACACATCAAGTCACTAGCTGGACGCCCAGAGTTTTAACATTGTGTTAGTCACTCACCTGCTATTTAAAGACAGTAATGGCTAACCCTTGCTGTAAATTTGTAAGCTAAACGTCAATAAGATTGATGCACATAAGTGTTTGAATGCGTGTGCCTGCCAATAATACTTTGAACTGATAAGCAGTGAGCATTAGTAAAAGGTTACAGGCACTGACAACCACATGAACCCATCAAATTGTAACTTTTATCCAATACTCTGTTTAGGTCTTTATCCAGTTAATCAGTTAATAAAGACTTACTGCATTAATAAATAATTACGGTCCGTTTGCCTATGTTCAAGTAATCTGTGAAGTCATGGTACAAGGTGTGTACCACTGTATACAGATGTATAAGCAATACAGACACACCTCTTCTCCAGATATAGGTAAATTCCAGCAATTTACTTATATCTTATATCTTATAGCTCAGCTTTTGTTTGGTGCAGGCTGGTGTAGTATTCAAGTGAGTGCTGCCAAATCTAAATCTGCTTCTCTTCACACTTACATGAAACCTCCCTGTGTCTGCTCTCGCTTGAGCCAAAGTGCAAGGGCAGTCTATGATCTCACTGAGGAAGTTAGGCAGCTGATTTTCCAGCTGGTCCCATGCTAAACATTTGTCCAGGGCCCAAACTGTTGAGTTCTGCCTGAACTTCTCCTCCAGATGCCAGGCCAGAGCGTGATCCTCAGTCCACGCGGCTTGTACATTCCTAGATCAAACACATGAAAAATGCAGCTGTTGACTTTGTACATACAAAATGATATTTACAGGATTTAGATCTCTGTGAAACCATAATTGAATAGAAGGACTGTTTTTTTTTTGATATTTCAGTTATATTTAATAGATTTAATATTATATAATAGCAAGTGTTCACGCATACCACATGCCATCAGGGTAGGTGCTGGGGCTGACACGTACAGAGCCAAGCTCCCAACTAGAGAAGCCGTTCTTTGCTGGTTCGGGCAAAAAGCTAAAGGAACCATTGTTGGGCTGATTCTTTGCAAGTGAATACAGATATAGCCACTCACCCTGCCAGCTGTCTGTATACGCTTCACCTACAGAGAAACATTTGACAGAGTTCAGTGTTTTCACCCAGTTAATAGTCATGTGACCTTCAAAGTGTGTGTGCGGTGTATAAAGGTGTACTCACCTGTCTCCCTGTATCCCCAGAGCTCTATATTGACCCTCTCTGCTCTGACCAAAGAGGTATTCCATGTCATCTCAAGAGTGCCTCCAACATTGGGTGTGCCATAGTATTGCCATTTTGTTGAGTTGACCAGAGTTGCCTTAAACTGAGCATCTAACTTACCAGTGTGCACTGTAGCAACACATTTGAATCAAATAAAGCATATGTTAATGTCATGTTTAAGGAAGAGTCCTGAGGTCATCAAAAGAATATGCAGACAATTATTGTACCTGAGAGCCAGGACCCAACTCTGCTGAATGTAGTGCCATTATCTGAGGAGATGTCCAAAGGAACCCATCCTGTTTCATACAACAGTGGGGAGATACAATGGCCTCTACTGTTTTCATCCACATACCCCAGAGTGTTGGTATTATTGTTAAACCTGCAATTTTAAAAGAATGATCAGCAAGTTATACTTGAGCGTGAAACTTGATTCTCCCAGTGCTTTTAACTACATCTCTGCACAGAGGTGTAAAAGAAAGTATTACCTGCATACAATCTTGGAAGTCTTATTAAAACTTGCATCAAGGACCATAAAATCTGTCCCACCCAAAATGGAGCCGGAATATGGAATGATTTCCACACAGTACTCTTTATAGTCTGTACAGCAGTTCTTCAGAGAAGTGCACGTTGAGTGACATGAACATGTGTCTAATTTTTCCCCACAGTTTCCTTCACATGTCTGTCCTGTCCAAAATAAGGAGAAATACGTCTTTAGTATAGAGTCTGGAGGGAGCCATCAGTTTAATTTGAAACAACATTTAAAAGCAATGTATGTATCATGGAATTCAATTAGTGTTTAATGATATATTTTAACTTACCATTTAAATTTACAAATAATAATTAGACTGTGAATAGATTTTTTTATATTTGAAAATGGATTTGCAAAGAGTTTTACATTTTACTTTTTGTTATGTCTTTATGTAATGTTCCACTTCACAAATCAAGTTATCTCCTGCTTTAACGCAATTTTAGTGACAACACTGAATTAAATGGGGCCCAGCAGTTCTTGTAGCTCAGCTGTTGACTTCTGTCCCCCACAAACACACAAATGCTACTGCCACTTTAAAAGAAATGTGCCCAAATACTAAATACTCTAATCTAATACTTAGAATGAGCTGCTTAGTTAACTTTTTATCCTGCTTTTGACCTTTTCCCATCACTGAAATGAACACACAAAAAAATGACTTTAACAATTATGAAGTTTGTGGGTACTTACCTAATGTCCTGCAGATACATGAAACCAGAAGGACAAATATTACTGGTGCGTATTTCTTCATCATGAATCGTTAGCCAAGGTTTCTGCTACTCTCTTGACAGCTTCTACAATTTTGTCCCAGGTAGATATACTCAGCATTTTTCTAAACCTTGGCCCTGCAATCACAGGCTTTTACAAACACCAGCTTAATCATCAACCAGAAGTCATTATAATAAAATCCAGCTGCATTTATCCTCACATGGCCACCTTTGACCATCTCTCACTTCAATGCAAATCAGTTTGTAAGATTTATTATCTGCTTAATAGATTTGAAATCGTATGCCACACCTGTAGAAATTAATTTAGGCTGTTACTTTATCATTATCATGTTTAGATAAAGGTGCAGTTTATCAAGAACAATTATTTAAATAATTGCTAAATAAAACATGCTTTCATGTGTATAATATTGGTCTTACTATCCTATACTATCAAATAACAGCAGTACAATCATATAAAATACATTACATACTGTGTATTTAATTTATGTATCACTGTGTGCCTTCAGACTTAAATGGTTCTACTTTACAATTTGAGCTAATTGCCGAAATAGCAAGCTAGCTAAGCAAGCATTCACATTAGCCTATTAAAATGCTAACAACTTCTGAGCCTGTTGACATGCTGTAGCGGTTCCATGGCAACAAGGCAAAATGCTGACAACATACAACTGATGAAATCTTTTACTTGTTTTGCTTCATAAACACTTTCAGCATTTTCTTTAGTTCTTGTGTTGTTGTATTTGTGTTGTCCAGCAGAGTGGACTGCTTCCTCTCGCTGCCTTCACTGAGGCAACACTGACATTATTTTGTATTTTGCAGTCTGAATTAATAATTAAGAAAACAAGGTCCACTTTTATGCATTATGTGCTTATTTGTTTTCTGGCCACCAAAATGGCATTAGGATGTGACCTCAAAGGTGAGGGTAGACTGAAATTTAATTCTTTACTAATCCTACGACTTTTAAGTCAAAGCACAAAGAATGTGTTGATTTCTTTCACAGGTTTCATTATGCAACCTAAAAACAATCTCTGAGGAGGGGAGCTATAAGGCCAGCTGCAGGCCAGTAGGGGGAGCAGCTACCTCAGGAATCATCTTCATGCCACAGTACACATTTAAAATGTGCTGGAGTATTTTGCTCTGTACTGAATTAATTTTCACAAACAAATACAGATTCATAAGTGTCCATTGTGGTTTAAAATGTTTTAATGTAACAGTACAACATGAGTGAGGTATTATAAACATTCATGGCTACACACATATGTAATATTTGTATCTACTGTTATCATGTAGACAGAAATTCAAATGCGTTAAATACAAAATAAAGATTACAAGTGCTTCTATTGTTATTATGGATGGTTTATCTCCATGAATTAGATGGTTTGAACTTTAGATATTAGGAACAAGCAGACCCACTGATATTGTGGCTGGGTTCTATTTTGAGTTTGTCATCTGCTTTCTACTAAACTAAAATATTGGCAGTACTTGTGTAATATTTTCATAATACATAATTGAATGACATTATCATAAAGATGCAAAACGTAAAAATCAGCTGACATAGAACACAATAGAACACAATTGGCAACAACCATGGAGCAGTATTACTGAACAAACATGGCTGTTACAGCAACATCATCCCAAATCATCTGGCAACATCATCTGGACTTGGTTCTTGTAGATTCCTGAAAAAAACAGTGGAGAGTTTGCTCAGTTGTTTGTACATATAGTAATTTTACATTGTCTTAACATGAACCTTTGATGATTTTAACACTCACCACCATCAAATGGCCATTCTTTGCCCTGTAGACCATGGACTCCTGGCCACTTTTGAAGTCCACAAACCCCTCTCTGCCGGGCTGGATGTCAAATCGCACACTGCAAGCAACAATGACCATTACATATTGAATTAGGCCCACCCGTCCTTTTAACCATTTAGATTTCTATCTTTTAAAATAATAATAATTATCCATAAATTCCAGATTCTGTACCTGCCCTGAACCACTTTGATGTAGTTCTGCTTGTTGGCAATAACACTGAGCTTAGTCAGGGCCTCAAACAGGTAGTCACACTGCAGAACCAGATCCCCCTGAAAGAAAAAATGTCACCCTCCAATTGTTAGTGATTTTACAAACCATAATCCTTGAATCAACCGATTTATTAATTAATGTGTTTGTATCTGATCTGGGGTCTGCTGTGAGGGGTGCTCATGAAAGTCATGGACCCCATTTTTGAGTTAATAATTATTTACCTATAAAGATCTATGTACAAATTCCTCATCAAGCTCTCCTGGAAGATGAAGATTAACAAGATTCTTGGCTACAATAACACTGTTCGCTAGTAAAGGCAACAGTCCAAACTGATGTTGATTTTCGCTGCAGTGTAGAGTCATTACAGATTTTAAAGATTAATTGAGCGACAGGGTTCTCTGGTGGTCTACAGTCGCTGAACATGATCCACAAAATCCCTGCTTTGCATCCAGCCAAGCATGTTGTTCCCCAGCTCTCTCTCCTCTCATTTCCTGTCATCTCTCTACTGTTGGCTGTCCAATGTGGTTTTATTGCCTTTGCAGACAAAAGTAATTGTCTAGAGAAACACGAGACACATGACCTACAGAATGTGTTATCAGGATTTCATCTGTTTTTAAAGTAAGTTTTTTTTAGATTTAAAAATACAGTTTTTTCGATACCTATTAAACCCTTGTAATGAGCTACCTTTTGCTTGATGTCATCACATGTAACATGAAGGATCAGAAAGTTGTCACTCAGGTTGCTGACCGACACACCTATAAAAAAAAGAGTCACCTTTAAAGAAAATCTCACGTGTGTGTGTAACAGCTTCAAGTTTCAAGCATATAGCTCTCGCTACAGATAATGATGCTTATTTAGTCTAATTGTCTCATTGGTTACCTTTCAGAGAGATGTAATCTATCCGCTGCTTAGTCTTGGCTTCCTCCACAAGGTAGGCAGCTTCCTGAGTGAAGATGAGCTGCCGGAGACGAGGCCTAAATCCGTTCCTGTCATACTTCACCACTGGCACGCTGTACTGTGGGAGGGACATACACAAGGTCACCATGGATTTAAAAGAAAGGACAAGGATGCAAATTAAATTCCAATGTTAGTTTACCTTGATGTGCTCATGCTGAATCATCTGAAGCACTTTGATGTTTATATCTTCTGCACCTTAATGAAATAACAGAAACTACTGAGCATCCATGAGAGAGGATTTCACACACAAATCAAAGACAATAATATGATACAGTCTCAATAACTCCATTATAAGTTGATTAGCGATTATTATCAATGTGCAAAATAGTCCATTAACATGCTCACAAAGTATCTCAGCTTGAATAATTAGATTTTGTTATGCAATTTGGAAATGAAAATGTATTGTCGCTATTTTTTCCTCTAAATTTAAAAAGTAAAATAAAATATCTCAGATACACAAACACTGCTAACTGCTGCATGCATACATCTAATCTAATGTACATCTTCAGCCTCCACAGGCTATTATAACTGTTGTGTTTAATCATGTTGCATGATATGATATGATGTACACATGCATACAAAATTAAAATAGTATATTCCTATAAGTAAACAAAAAAGAAAAAAGAAAAAAAAACTCTGCAGTCTTACCTATCCTGGTGTCCACAAACGGTCTGCACACACTGAAGGGGTAGTTTTCTTTCTTTCCTTTGAACATGGAGCTCGTCTGTGCTTTTAACACAAGCTGGGAATGAGGATGAATAAACAGTATGAAAGAAGAAAGTAAGTTACTTTATTTCCTTATTTAAATTTGTCTGGGACTCAATTGTTGCCCACAAACCTATAAAATTAAGTCATTTTAAATGTAGAGTAGAAATGTGAATACATAAGTTGTGGTTCCTACACTCAAGAAGGTGGATTGTACCTGTGCTTTCCTCTGTGGAGTGATTCCTCGTACGTACTTCCCTACCATGTGGCGAATGTAGAGCTTCTTCAAGAGCTGGGAAGCCTAGAAAATATCCAATTTTACATTAGCTGTTTGATTAGATTCCTTTACAGGGTGCAACGGTTACAAACCTGTGCCCTCATGCAGACTTACGACTAGAAACAGCTGGTGTCAAAAACATATCACCCACCTCCTTCATTATAGGTGGAGGGGTGAGCCAGGAGTCTTTCTCCAGGACTGTTTTGGGAAGGTTTTCCCTCAGCCGTGTGAGGTAGTTCTGCCTCACATACGCCAGGTACTCACTGTTGTCATTGCAGGCTGGCTGATTTCTGGTTATGAAACCTTTAATGAACCTAGAATAAATCAGTAGACAGGTCACAACATAGACTGTCATTCTCATCTCATTTAACCAAATAGATATCCATTGTGTGAACTTACTTCTTGATGACCTTGACAGCCCATGCCCTCTTTTCACGCTCCTTTCTGGCCATTATACCTCTCCAGCAGTTCTCAATCTTGGTGGCTATTGAGATGAGACAAGGTAACAAAAAGTATTATCTTAAATACTTAGCATATTGGCCATTCGCCTACATTTAGGTAAGGAAAAACTTGTGCTTGTGAACAAATCTATGGGCATTTTAACACTCACCAGCATCTCTCTGTTTCTGGTAGTCTCCTTTCACTCTGTAGCCTTTGTACTTGGCCTGAATCCTTGTTGCTGAAACAATGACAGTTACAGTTTCACCCTCAGGAGGGTTACTATGCTCAATGTGATATTACGACTTTAGAGAACAGTATCTCACCTAGCTTATGTTTGCAGACCTGAAAGGCGTCTTCTGTTGCAAACAGAGTTCTAGGGTGTCGGATGAAAATTTTTGTCCTTGAGGGAAGAAGACAAACAATGAGAAGTACATATGTCTTATCATAGACTGTCTATGGCACACATCCATCCACATCTGCCTACCTGCCCATCTTGTACTCATCAGGTTTGTAGCCCAGATGTTTGATCAAGCAGCGCACACCTTCTGCTGCCGTACCTTTCCAGTTGGGCCAGGTGTCTGGACAGAGAGGTTTATACCTGAGCACAGAAGAAGACCCCACAGTCACACACAGCTTTGTAGCTAATACCAACAATACCATGCCAAATGTCTTCTTCTTCAAAAAAGAGTAACTTCATGTGAATTTAGATGATGAGCCATGAAAGTGTGCTCAGCTACCTCTGGAGAAAGATGTCGTATTTGCGCCGGTAAGCAAACCCGGCACGTCTGACCCTCAGGTGCTCCATGAGCCCCAGGTACTTCACCTGATGTCTCACCAGCACATCATCAAAGCGTCCTGCAGGGGACACCAAAGGTCATCTCACAAGTTCAGGGGTCATAACCTTGTGGTCTAACTTACATATGCTAGCTGAACATAGAGAAAAAGTATTAGCCTGGTTAGGGCTCTAAGATCTTTTCAGAAGTGGAGGATTTTTGGGACACACGGCCTCACCTGGCTGCTTGGCTTCATTGGGTTTAATGCAGCGAACGTACCAGGGCTCTTTGGACATTAAGATCTCAGTCAAGCCCACCAGGCTGCTCTTGAACTGAGTCACAACCTGATGAGTCACATGAAAAAAGTGCTGACAGGTTGTTTGTAGTAGTTTTGTAAATCATGAATTCAGTGGGTCAGAGCGTCATCATCTAAATTGTTTCTTACAGTTTCAGGCCTCCTTTTGCTGTCCGGTTCAGTAGAAGGAAAACAGTGTTTGATAATAGCATTCTTGGACTGTCGCATGACCTGATGGGGAATAGGAAAACTGTATAAGCCAAAGCTTTACTTTTATATTTAATTACAGGTCTATTTTTGGTACATTTGGTATTAAATATTAAAACTCACACAGTAGATTTAAGTACTGTATTTGTGTAATACAATGAATCACATACATTTGCATTCATTTTCAAGGAATCACCGACAAACCTGATATTGGTATCACATGGTTATATTACATAAGTAAAACTAAATTACCTCTTTCCCATTTCGATACAAGAGATCATTGTTTTTGTCCAAGAATCCTGAAAGTATGAAGAACAAAGAGAAACTGTATGTATATTTTTGGCAACAACACATTTCTCCTCTTACCAATGAAAAGTTAAATTCATAAGCAATAAAAAATCACTATACTTAATGCCTTACTTGGTCTGGTATGACGGGTAGTATATGGTAGCTAATGTAACAAATGTATTAAAATAATATACATATTTCTCCATAAATCCCTATTTTATTGATGTACACATTGTGTTATTTTTCACATTTCTTCTTATTTGCCTCTATGTATATTTTTGGGCGTTTTTATCTTTGGTTAAGTGACCTTTAACCTTGTTAGCAATGTAACCTCCAGTTAGCCAGAGAGGCCCCACTCAGAGAGGCCCCACTGAGGAGAGGTGAATGCCTCTGTCAATAGTGTTAAATGTGATGAAAACGTTAAACAGTGCAGCAAACCTCACCTTTTCTGAATCACAGACATAGACTGATAGTTTTGTCCTGAAAAGGTATTTTTATCCAGTACAGCACTTTGTTGTTTCATGCTAGCTTACCAATGTCAAGCTAGGCTAACCTTACTGGAGCATGCAGGTGGTTTCTCATGTGCCTCTTTTATGCAGTATGTGGGTTCTCCCATTACTTCTTTACTTCTTTGGTTATAAATATTTGTTTTGTGTTAATAATTTTGTGTTTTTACAACACACACATTTTCTATTTAATATATTATATATAAATAATAGCTTATTTATTGTCAAAATGAGTCAACCTTGAACTGTTAAACTATTTATAGTAGGAACTGTGAATGTAATGCATGTAAGGCTACAGAGAAATATATTATATATTATATATGTAGAGCTGTGCATGTAATGTCATTAGTTTGTAACGAAGCTGCTGTATTGATTTTATTTAATCCAGGGGTGAGAGCAGTTGTCCTCGTCTCCTTCAAATGCATTCACACACAACACTAGTTTGCTTATAATCTGTTGCATTAGCTATGTGCTATATGCTGGCTAACTTTAAATATTGCTGACAGTCAGTGTGCAGACTTTGTGACTCCTCTCTACTTGTGCTGCTGTTAAACAACATTTTATAATTTGCCCATAGTTACATTGGCACATGTAATGGTGTTGTGATAGAGCAAGACATGTACAGTAATGCAGTATTTCATCTCTTACCAATAACACAGTATGTAACCTCCCCAGCATAGTGCAAGAGGCGAAAGTCTCCTCTTTCCAGTGTTTTCCTCGTCTTCTGGTCTGCAAGTTTATGTCTGCAGGAAGTTAAGAGTAGTTTATTTTGATGTTTATGGTTATGCCATGTGCTGGATTGGCTGCTGGGTCATGTCCCTTAACCATGTGCATTTTGTGAAAAGTGTAAGTGTTGATCTTACGTGACAAAATGAGGGTGACCACCGATCGTTTCCTCCATCTTCTCCAGTAGTGTGAGATCTGTGGCCTCTCCTGGACGTAAACATTCCTCGTCCTATAGACCAGGAAAAGCATCATCATTTTTGTTCTTTGGACATTTTTTTGTCTTTCTGTAGGACCATAACTCAGTCATATCTTTACCAATAAAGAGATGATTCCTCTGTGTTTCTCCTCCACAAGATCACAGATGATCTTGTTGTTGAAATATGGCACTGGTTCCCACTGGGCATAAGAAAACAAGGAAGGGATTGAAAGGCAGTTTTTATTATATGTGAGTTTATTTTTGCACATTAGTATCAGTGTGAGCCACAAATGTCAAGAAAATATAAGGATGGTAGTGCTGTTACTTCAATCCCTTCCATCTCGTACTCCTCCTGCTCTGACTTCAGGGTCAGCTGGATGAAAAGCTGCTGCAGCTTCTCGTTGCAGTAGTTGATGCAAAACTGCTCAAAGCTAAAATAAATCATAGGAACTGTCAGCATCAGATTCTTAACGTCACATGTTTGCTGTAGAAAAATCAGCTCAGCTGTGCAAGATCTCACCTGTTCACGTTGAAAACCTCGAAACCATAGATGTCCAAGAGACCAATTACTGTTTTCCTGGAGGAATCCTACAGATAATTTAGACAGATATGATTTCTGGTTTCTAACTGAAATTCAAGCTCATATGTTGGTGTTATTATAAACCAATAAAATTACAATGGAAAATATAATCAGCCCAAAGAAACATTTTACAGATGTGCTGTTTTTCAGAATTGGGTGTTTTCAGTGTCACAACCAATCAAATGGCTGCCTCAGGCTTGGTAAAATCTTGTTACCCCAATTTTCTCCCCATTTCCGTGATCTTAATGAGACAGGTCTGGCTAAGCATGATTAGAAAGAGAGTAGCTTTTGTGTCTCACCTTGTTTGCTAGAGATTCATTGATCTTGTTGACTAGCCAGTTGAAAGTGCGGCCATAGATGGCTTTGGCAAGGGCATCTCTGGCATATACTGCATGGTCCACAGAGAAGGGACTTAACACCTTTAACATCAAAATAAGGAGGATCATTTAAAATAAAACAAGTAAAAAGAAATGTATACTTTGAAACAAAAGAAGTCAAATCACCTCCTCTGCTTTGGCTTCAATCTTCCTATGGGTTAGGCCTTGTTGTAGCACCTGAGCAGGAATCCCCAGCAGCTGCACAGCAAAGGCAAAGAAAAAGAAAAAAAAAACATATAAAACCAAATGGTCTCCTCTCCATAAGAAAGTTGCATAGAAACAGAAAAAGGGTTTAAACTGTAGTTTGTTTGGGGCTCACCTTTGACACCCAGTGCATCTCCTGGTTGTTGTTGAGAGAGGCGTATCCTCGAACATCTGCTACAAACTTGATGTTTCCCAGATGGAGCACACTAGCAATTATTCCAAACAGGTGCTGCATTACACCCAGAGAGAAATACTTCATGAATCACCAGCAAATCAGTCATAGATTCAAATAAAGTTTTGTCCAGTTTTGATGTATAAAGATTTACCGTACTACCTCACCTCAATATCACTCTCGTTGAACTCTATCACGGAGAGGGCTTTCTGCACCATCCTCCAGTCACTTTTATCATTGATAGAGCTAACTTTGGCACAACCCCCCTGGAGGAGACAGAAATAAAAAAAAAATTTTTGTTGCAGTAGGTAAAGTAAGACTTTTTGTTTTTCTTTCCACTGACCTGCACCAAGTAACTGTAGTGCTGGCAGTTTCTCTCCAGGCCGAGCCATCGGAGCAGATCTTCCTCTCCTCCCTCCACCAGCTGATAGAAGATGTGGAAGTTTCTCTCTCCGTGGTTCTGGTGGACCACACGGGACTTCTCCAGCAGGTAACTCAGGATGTGACCACCAACTGCACCACCCTGATGGAGAAAGGTAATCCTTAACCCCTAGTCAGTGCTTAGTGTGAACATTGAGGTCATTACATTGCCGTGTTATATTATCTTGATTATCTGCACAGTAATGTAATGAAGATATTTCAGTCCACCTGGTGGTCGAACTGGATGTCCATGTATTTCCCAAAGCGGCTTGAGTTGTCATTCTTCAGGGTTTTGGCATTTCCGAAAGCCTGGAAGGTATGAATATATAGACAGTCTGTGAATATACTATATATGTATAAAACAGTTTCTCTAAATGTGGTCTTAGCCAGCAGAAGCCCTGGCACACATATCAATGTTACTGACCTCAAGCACTGGATTGGAAAGAAGCAGCCTGTCCCGGACGTTGTTCAGGAGTTTAGTACTCGGACAGCTGACAGCGTAGAATTGCAGGATTTTTTTGGAAGCCTCAGTCTTGCCGGCCCCGCTCTCCCCTGAGATCAGAATGAAGTGGTTGTTGAACTCAGACTGCATGGTACGGAAGACGTTGTCTGCCAGCGCGTAACTGAAAGTACAGTAGTAGTCAGGTCAAATTCAGCCCCCCTTTAAAATTCAGACTTTTTTGCCATCATAAAACTACTTTACTACGACTACGACTTTGTCAGATAGTTGAGACATTTAGCTTAAAACAGAAAATGTCAACCTCATGGTGGCACTAGAGGAAAAATCAGGATTATCAAAGTCAGAGGGATTCCTCCTCCATGGATTATGAACTATCTGTACAAAGGTTCATGACAATCCATCCATGAAAGTCCAAAGTGGTGGAACAACTGACATCCCTGGAGCCACGCTGCTAGCATGACTAAAAAAATAAAGGTTTATCTTATTTAAGAACTTATTTATCTGGCATAGAAAAGCCCCACCCATGATAACCACTGCATGCCAACACATAGTATAAATAAATACAGAATAAAAGATATCTTACATATGAGGTGGCAGCTCAAAAAAGTTTACACCCATGTAGGTATCCATTTGCTTCTTACTGTAGATATCTAACTCTTTGTATGGGTTGACCGACACCAAGAGAGTCCCAATGTAAGTCTGCAAAGAAAGACAAGGAAAGGAAGTCATGTTCTGCAACTCTTGCACATTTGGGATTGGGATTGTTTTTCCCAAACATTACAGGACAATAAAAGAAGGCTTCCAGCACTGTGGTGTCCATGTATCACTCTGCTGATAAGTAATTTTGTTCCTCTTATCAAAAGCAATAAGTTTTGCTAATCGCTTGTCATGACCTTATGTACAGAGGTGACCTTTAGATTGCTCACTCTGCAAATGAAAAGAACAGGAGCTGCTGTTTCAGCAACTTAAGGTGCCAGATTCAGCACGAGGCAACATAGCATTAGGATCTTGATGGGTTGAAGGTCGAGGGCGTGACGTTTAATTAGAGTAAAAGAAATCCAGGTTATCCAACATTACACCACACAGGAAGACTCACGTAAATGAGATTCTCATGGAAGCGTTTCCTCAGGTTGTCCAGGAAGGCACTCTCACTTGTGTAGGCGTCTAGTAGAACAAAATCCTGGATGCCCACGCGATCCCGAGCTGTCAGGGAGGCTTCCATGTTCCTCAGGATCTGGTTACACCGCTCATCCAGGCTCTGTGCCCAAACAAGAATACATCAGGACAAGGAAACAACAGAGCTAAGTAACATGACAAAACTGTACAAAATTCACATATATTATGTTATTTTTGGCATAATTCTCATCCCTTCTGTCAAGAACAGGCCCATATGTCCCATCCTTTTCCTTTGTGTCCTATTTTCCTCAAATGTTATCTGTTTTTGTTGAGGTTGTCACCACTCAAGAGCACATACACACGCATCTTCACAATCATGGACAACCTAGAATATATCGCTCCCAGTAGGTGACTCATATCCTGCCTATTTGTCCCTATATCTGTGACTCCTAGTCAGAGCCCTTAATGGCCTTGGCTGCATCCTCTATGCTCATGACAAATCTAAATTCAGCCTCCACTATCTAATCTGCTTCTGTGTTCTCTAAAGAGCCATCAGTCTCGTTTATGGCATGGACTGAATGAACACAATATATTCCACAAGCTTCACTTGAAGTTTCCTAATTTCCAAGTTTGTCAGTCTAACAGAAGATTAAATTATAACTGAATCCAGATTTTAATTAAGAACTAAAATCCAGAAGTAATTACATCCATTATAATATTTATAACTACAGGATATCATCTTGCACTTAAAAATACACAGCTGAAGAAGCGCCAGGTAAAATAATCAGCAAACGTGATGCACTTTAATTACGGTGCTATGAAAGAGCCACCCAGCATTATGCTTCAGTAGTTTGGCTCTCATCACTGTCGATTTGACCTGTCACCAAGTAGGAGTAACTGACACTCACAGATCAATCTCCAGTAAAACAAGCTGCTGCTCTACTGATCCAGCAGAAATCTACAGCAAAATGTCCCACTAAATCATGTCCTGAAAATAACATGTAATCATTAAAACGTTTTGCAGGAAAAAGAGCCATAAAGTTACCTACCCGGCAGGTTGCTGATGTATGTGCGTGTGTGCCTCTGTACCTTTTTTGAACTGAACATCTGGTTTTATTGAAGGAAAAGGGCAGCAGTGTGACAGGAAACACTGATGGATTACAGTCTCTACTTCCTTCAATAGGAAACCATCAATAATGTAGTGAGTGTGCAACAAAGGAAGCAAATCTCATTCTAAATATGTATTTGTGTGGTTGTGTGTGTGTGCTTGTAGATAGATAAGTTACTGTAGAGCTTTACCACATACAACGTACTTTCATTTGTATGAACCTTTTCATCAATTCACGATTTCAAATCTAAATCAGAGAGAGTTGGATGGTGGAAGGCTGCAACATGGCAGGTCATTCACCAAAAACAAGAACTTGTTGATCTTGCTAATCAAATAAAAAAATAACTCAACTAAAGCTCATTGATCATACAGTCCTTAACAAAATATTACAGTTAGGCTTCATAACTATACAAGTATTAATTTAGTTTTTTTATATTTATACATTTATACATTTTGTTCATCATATTATATTTAAGTGTTTGACAGACAAAAAAGCTGATTAAAACAGCAGAAAATTAGACTGTATATACAGTACGTAATGTATTAAAGGTCACTTTTATTAGAAATTACCATAACAAAAGAGAAAAGTCCAACAACTGGTAGCAGTACCATAATATGAGATATTGAAAGTCTTTCAAAACATACGTCTAAATACCTAACATGTACTTTAAAAAACCTTAAAGATAAGAGCAGTAATAATAAAATTAAAAACCAAATGCTAATATCAACACAGAGGTCATCTCTCACACACTGTTCAGATTTCTTGATTGGATGATAATCTCCTCATTTGTCTAAATAAAAAAAAAACCTGACCTGCCTGCTGTTATTTGATCAACTGGGTTCTGTTGTCAAATTTCTACATGACTTGCATCATAGAGAAAAGCAGCAAGGTGGTTTGTCTCAGACACTCTGCTTTGTTGTTGGCACTCTGTGGACGTCTGTGAGCAGGCAGTTGACTGGGCACCGAGCACAGAGATTTTCTGACATTAAAAGGAAATGTTACCTCTACATGGCTGATAGTAGAACAATACTATGCTGTAAGAGGATGGACAATTTTTCTAAGTTGGCAACATTGTCATCTGATTGGACAGGATGTTCAATATTTTAAGGCAAAGATAAGAACATGTATGAACACAAACACACAAACATCCAACATGAACATGAACTACCATAAAACATCAAATTTTGATGTCAGGCTACAGCGGAACAGGAAAGCCTATCTGACCCAGAGACCATCACCTGAGAGGGCGCTCCATTGTCCCTGACTATCCAGTATGGTGCAGGATCCTGTTACGCAGCCACAAAGTGGCAGTTAGGCTCCTGAAAGAGATAGCGCTCCTCATGGGCCATTGACTGACACCACACATCACCCAGGGCAACACACATTTAGGGGGCTCCAGGTGTCTAGAGAAACCTGACCACGACTGGCCTCCATCACACCAGTCAAGTACAGTACCTTCTCTGTTGCTACTGTTTCACACAAGCATATATAGCAATAACATGTTCAGCTGGATCACTGAATGGTAAATAATCAACTAAAAGTGCGAAACTTCTGGGCAGGTTAAGGCAGCATTCATTTACATTTTTTGTCAACTTGGGGTCAATGAAACAAGCTGAATACATAACATTCACATAGTATTGCTTTAGAAAGTTGAAGCTTTTTAATACCAACTAGCAAACAGTTTGGATTCGTTTTTCTTTCCACCTGGTAAATGTAACTCCCAATATTCATTCTTCTTTTAGGTCTACTTTGGTCTCCACCAACTCCTGAGGGAAATATCTGTCTCTTGTTAAATGCTCCTCTACGTTCACAAGCTATTCGCTAACTTTGTCAGTCTGCCGCTTGATGGAAGGCAGGTAGTGGACATTGGGCTCCTGAGAGCAGCAAGAAAATGCAGTTGATCTGTGCCTTATGAGAGAGAGAAGTTGCAGCCTGTAAAACCAAACCAGAACAAAGCTGAGTTATAATTTACTGTGGATTCGTCACTATGAGCGACCTCTTTTGCATTACACAGTCATCTGATTCATTGAGAATATAAAAATATTGATAAGTGCAGCTTTAAATCATTACTTCATGTGTAGAATTGTACCAGTGGTAGTCATTCTGTATCAGAAAAGACCCTCGGGCCGACAGCAATGTGGACCTATACCCCCTTGTCTGGATCAAATGAAGAATTCTGCATCAGGTTACTTTGAAAGATGCTGCAATCACTTAAAAATATCCACACATCCTACCTGCTTTACTTCCAAAACCATGTGCGTCATGTTTGAATCAGGCTTGCGCAATGAACCTGATAAATCCAAATTACTTTGAACTTCAGTCCTCAGGTGTACAACTCAGACAGATGGTAGTTTTAGTAGCCGATGATTTCTCCCATAGTGGAGCCTCTTTAGGTCAGCGCATATATTTCACCAAGAATCTACTTTCACCACTGTCTCCTCTACTACTCAGGTTTGCATCGGTCCTTGATTCAAATACTGGCTCGGAGCAGGCCCGGTACCAAGGCTTAGGACAGAGACGCTGAGGAGGAGGAGGAGGAGGAAGAGGAGGAGGAGTGTGGCACTGCTGCTTCCTGCTGGGCTGGTGTCCCTGCATTGTAGGTAATGAGGCAGTAATGAGCTACCTGGCTCTGGAAGCACTGGGCTGGTTAAACATTCATGGAGCCCAGGCAGCAAACATTCATTCTGCGCTTTGCCTGAGTGTTGAACAGCTACACTATGTGTTTAAGTAAGAGTGTGTGCATATATGTGTGTGTGTGTGCAGGTATGTAATACAAGGATGTAGTAACTTTATCCTCCCGAAGACCTGTCCTCACCCTCCTTCCCACAAAATTACAGCACAGGTATTCGATTACTGAACTTTGATTAGGCAGATGCATTTCATTACTGACTGCTCATTAGAGCCACAACTATCAGACCAGTTTGGGATTAAACCACTGATTCTGTGACACCAGCCATCAGAATCATACACATATTATACT